GTCCCTGATGATAAACTTTCAACCAGACCTCAAGCTGTTTGTCTGCGAGCAATGTCGGTTTGCGGTCTGGGCAGATCATTTTTCAGGACACATCTTCAATAACCATAGGTTGCTTCTACCACAACACGTCAAACAACCGGTAGTTGATGTCACTGTAACATGAGCATGCAATAGACTTCAGGCTGCGAAGTCACATCAATTAAAGGTAGACCTATTACAATGCCTTCTACCCCCATTGCCTTGGCTGCTTAAGCCCGTACAGGGGTACCAATGCCATTATTGCCCTTACATGGCTGTGTCCATGGGAACAATTTCAACGCATAGCAAGAGATTACATCCTGGGTGGGTGGGGCCACTGCCCTAGTAAGCACGACCAACATTTTTTGGTGCAGCATCTCTTTTCCAAGGTGCAGTACTTTGTGGTACATGCCATGCTGCAGAACATTAGCCTGGACCATCTCTTTTCTAAGTTCTATCAATACTGCTAACCCAGTACATTGACAGAGCTTTTATAGATGGAAATATGTCAAAAACATCAGATCCTGGTGACCTGTCACCATTTTTGACCGCTGCTGGATGGGCCCAGGCAACTGAGGGATACTCCATGCCTGGATTATGTGCTATGTCTGACTCTAAGATAGAGACACCGGACATCTATGACCTAACTCGCATCAAGGATTTGAGCAAGGGATATCTTTCCACTATTTCATCTACATCGGATATCGAGCCTACTCTCTTGGATGCTCTCATGAGCTAGTGAACTTGATAGTAAGATTTAACACTAGCTATAGCACCCATAATTTCTAACAGAATGTTAAGCCGCCCATTTCAAATATTACAGGAAAAGGATTCTGTTGAGACTTATGGGCTCCACTGTGATCGGCTGGTCCTCATGATCTTGCGCACTATTTCCTCTCAATCATCACCGATGGAAGGAACTGCAGATGGCTCAAATGCTCGAGACACTTACCCCATGGATGAAGATGCTGAGGAAGAGGTGGATGACCATGGCAAAGACAATGCTGGCAGAATATACTCCCCCCGATACAGGTGTTGAAGAAGAAGAGGGCCCTGAGGAGTCAGCAGATTTTGATCCATCAGAAGACCATGCTGCTTATCCAATAGTATTGAACAGCGTCCAGATTCAACATGCTGAGACACTGAGGGAGTGCTGTGCTGATCCGAATTCATCAGAAGCTTGGCTTATTGAGGCCTACCATTCTGTTGTATTGTCCATCTTCACCACCAACACCAATAATGACTTACGTGGTCCTCTTCACTCTCTGATAGACTCCTTTGTCATGTCTACCAGCATCGACGTGCAAGGACATTTTGTTCCGTCACATCTCATCTCTAGTTACCTGGCAAAGTTAATATACTCTGTGATGTTTTCCATTCTGACTGAGGTCATGAAAACCTCTGACCCATACCAGTAAGGGTGCATCGTTCTCTGACACAAGCAATCACTGAGTATTTCATACACGCAGAACAATCATGAGTTCTATGAAGCAATGGATGGAGCCTGGAATGTGAACACCATTTTTCTCCATCCGATAATATTCACACCTGTGCTATGCCCTATGCATGGCTCACATTGCTCTTCCATGACTTCAGTTTACCACATTTGATGGCCCTGACTTCACCTTTGATGGAAAACCCCTTTCTCTTACCTCCATAACCAGTATGTATCACAGTGTCTACCGAGAGATGATTCACATTCTGAACGAGTGTCTTCTTTTTGGCACTGGTGATGCTGTACTACAGCATCTCAAGAATCTGGAAGACATCATAGACCAACCTCACAAGCATGTGATTGGCCATGGTGTCCTAGTTTCAGAGATGCAGGCTGCTTGGAATCCAGTAAAATTTATCATGGGCAACAATGTGCTCTGTAAAAAGTACTTCAGCATCGATTTGAGTGGAAATCCTATGCTGCAAAAGGGTGCATGGGAGAGATACCTATAACAGGTTGAGAAGTTTAAGGAGCACCTATACTTCCTGTTGCACCAAATTCCAGGAATGCCAAAATGAGGCTCAGAAGAAATTTGTGCCAAGATCGTCGATACCAGCTTTCAAGGGCAAAATGTCATGTATCTCTTCTATCGCCTTGCATGCATCAGAGATTATAGCAAGTATTCTCGGAGCTCTGGTAATGACAAGTTGACCTTGCATTTCTTTGCTCGTCCTTTAGAAGCCACCCTAAGGCGATTTCAAGCATCTGTTGCTAGCATCAGCGCATGGGCTATCAATTTGGTCCTTGCTCCTGAGGATGTCAACCCTCATCATCACTGCTACCTATTATCCAGCATGGGGCAATGATGGACATCTGAATGGCTTTCACGCATACTCCAAAAGTTAACTTCCAAACACCTTGCTGGAAAGATCAGCCTCAACATGAGCTCATTGAGACACATTCTGCCTGGCATTGTGGAACATTATCGGATCTCAGATGTTCTATCACCAAGAACTGATGATGTTCTACATGCCCAGCTTGGCCATACTCAAGAGATAGGTGATTGCATGTATACTAGGGCGCACCAAGATCACCCCCAACTTACCAACTCGATGGCTCACCAAACCATGTTATTTTGCGACGTGGTGCATTGACCGCTCAGATTATGGAACTCAAGGTATGTGAATGTGTGGTATCATTAAGTTCCATAGCCTCACATATATCGTGGAAGGAAAAACAAAAGGCAGCTCCACATGGCAACATTGCAGAACATGAGGTATGATGTTTTGAACATCATTTATGGCCATGCTGCCTCAATAACTACCCTGGAATCAGGCAGAAGGGCATTATTTAGAAAGGATGAGGGGCATTCCCTTAGCAGGTAATCCAGATGAATTGAACAGCTCAGGGAAGAATTGACACATCTTCAGTTTCACAGTCACTGCAGGTATGCATCAGGAAACCTACAATTCTGCTGGATATCCTGATTTCTCTGTATTACAGTTGTCTGATATCAGTAACAATCAGTACCAATCAGCACACATCAGTTGTGCAGATATGTCAGATTATTAGATCAACAAAATTACAGAGTGTCCAGGGATGTCAAACTTCAAAAGAAAGTTATGCAGTCATTCAGAACATCAGCTTTTCTGATATCAGTAACAATCAGTAACAATCAGCACATATCAGTTGTGCAGACACATCAGATTATCAGACCCAAAAAATTACAGAACATCCAGAGATGTCAGACTTTCAACAAAAAAGTTAGTCAGTCATTCAGCAATATCAGCTTGACTAACCTCTAGATTATCAGAAGGTACAGATATACAATTCTGCAGTGTATACAATTTCCTATCACTTAGTACTTAGTAGATCTCAGTGACTTATCACTGCCAGAAATTTGAGGTTGTCTAAATTGAGAATCAATGAATGACAGTTTGCAAACTAAATGACACCATATATAGTATGTCAGGTGCAAGTGCAGACGTCTGCACTAGTGCCCTATTGCCTAATTAGGAAATTCCTGCTCACCACACACTACAATCAGCTCAATATTTAACATATTTGTTCATTATCTGATGGTGTACAATACTGATTCTTGAATAGTTATTTTAGACAGATATATATTAAAATAAGCTCTATTGTATTGTATTATATACATACAATATATATACTACATTATTACACTAATGTTGATGTACCATAGTGTTGTAGGGACTTAGTGAAATTTTGCATGTTTGATTATATAAGCAGTCATGTGATGTTGGTTGAAGTTAGGTGGGAAAGCTTATGTAATCAAAAATGTGTTTAATGATTCAAGTCTTTTGACATTATTCAAGTCTTCTTGCCTTCTTCTCTTTCTCTCCTTTCAATCCTTTTCTTTTCCCACCCTTACTCTTAGGTCAGGCTCCTGGATATTCAAGTTGGGTATGTTGGTGTTGATGTGAGGGTTGGTGTGGATGGGACTTTGAAATTGGTGCAGTGGTGAGTCACTTATCCCCTCTCCTATTCTTTCCTCTAAAGACTGACCCTGTTCACTTCTAGCCTATATATCTTCGCATTTTTGGTCCTTTTGGTGAGTCACTTATCTTCTCTCCTCTTCTCTGAAGACTGAATTTCTGCTCACTTCTAGCCTATGTATTTTCGTATTTTTGGTGTTTTTGGTGTCTCTCTTAGTCAGTAGTATAGATGCCAATGTAGTAGTTACTTTGAATATGATTTTTGTATTTTTGATATTTTTGATATTTTGACCATTGCAATGTCCTGATGTTATGTTATGTGCTGTGGAGCTGTTAGACAAACTAAACTACATATCTGATGTATTACATCCCTTAGAAACTGGCATCCTGAATTATACACAAACAGTACCTCTGGGTGTCTATGGAGCTGTTCACCACTGATTTTAGGCATGGCACTGATTTCAGCAATTGCTGCATGACTGCATTACCTGTATGTCTGATATCAGACAGTTCAGTAGGCAACAGCAACATCAGCAGAATTGTAGGTTTCCTGATGTGATAGGGCAGGGGCTTTGGATATACCATGAACAGGACCTCAAGTTTGTTTGCGCTTGTGGCAAGTTTTCACATCATGAGAGGGCGGCAGTGGAGACTCATCTTTCATTGCTTGATGCTAATGACCAGAAGGTAATGATGAAGCATAAAAAGGCCAGGAACAGGCCAGGATGGTCACAAGGGAAAGCTACAAATAAGCTCACCATATCCAAATGTTAAACCTGCACAGCTTCAATGCATATTACATAGTTGCTGCTTTTTTTGTTCCTTGTCCATTATCTGTTGGGGCGAAGCCCTACGTGTATGTACTGTATGTAATTTTTCTGGTTTCAAATGATGGATCTCGTTCAATGATCCTGGCCAGGGTAAGGACATTAACACCAACTGAAGGTGATGAGGATGGTGGATTTTGATACCTTCATTGTGTAGTTGTATTGAGCGTGACTGTGAAAGTCAGGATTACATTGCAGGATATCTTGACCTTCCTTCCAATCCTCCAGGGATTGATATGTCAAGTAGAGACATTGAAATACTTAAACCTTGTGGAATGCGGTCACTGTCATTTATAAGTTCAGACTTGAAGCCAAACTTACATACATGAAGATGGCTGTCCTTCACATAATCTGGTGAGATATTCTTCCTGAGAAAATTGAACAAGGTGTTCTGAAATTCCATAGCCTCATTTACAAATCCATGAGCAACAAGCTCATCCGCTAATCCCTTCGCATCTGTGATCCCAGCAGCTGGTGATCCCAGGATCCAGTGTTCATTAGACCTTGCCAGTGTACCGCAGATCTGAGTCGCATTTGAACTGGATTGAACTTTGTTGGATCCAGTCGTCTTTGCCAGCGTGCTCTCATGTTGGCTCGCATCGTCTATAAGCATGTGAATACATGTCACTGCTTCTAGATTTTCATCAATCCTAGCCATCTGATGAAACATCAGCGCATTTGCAGTATTTGTGAGCGTAGTAAATGCACCTGAGGTTCAGTGTCCTTATAGTTTGTTTGTTTGTATGCCTCCTGCACCTCTTGATGGAAACCTTCGCCAACACAAGTCTTGGATTTATTGAGTGTTTCCTTCTGCCTGATATCTGGGATGATATGGGTGGCCAAGTGTTGTTTGAAGAAATTGAAGTTTTTATTGTATTGCATAGAGACGCACTTTTAAATGCCGAAGACTAAGTTAGAAATGGAACCTTGGTTGTAATAAAACAAATAGTCCACATACCAAGCAGTAATCCATGTAAGTCTTGATATATCCTTGCAGCTGTTCGATATGATCTTCAGTAATGCACTTCATCTGGATCATCATGCAAATTTAAGCATATGCACAGAGACAGTTTACGGGCACTGAGTTTTTAGGCAAAAGTTGCACTATGCAAGGTAGAAGGCACTGCAAAGCAGCAATAATACAAGTGAACATCAGTCTAATTATTCATGAAATGATACGTACTCTCAAAATGTCAAAGTAGGCCATGCCATCCACATACTCAATTGTTGTGACATTGAGAAAATGTTTGAGGCTCGACCACCTGTCGACACCGCGCATGCTGAGTAACAAAAACCAAGTCATATGTCATTGAGTCACCAAATACTATGTGCTCATTGTCTGGACTTACTTGATGGTAAGTTGACCCTTGACATCCAGATCTTCCAGGATGGTGAGCAACAGCTGCCACAGATGCTTTCCAAACTTGCCGAGATCATCAGCATGTAGTTTGTTGTAGGAAATTACTAGGTATGGGTCTGAATGAGGGAGCAACCAAAAAAAATTCTGCACAAGCTTGTCATGACTGGATTCAAAATGTTAATCAAAGACACTTACAAAGGTTCTGTAAAGCCCATTTTGCTGTAATATTCGCTCAGACCCAGATTTGGTTTGACACTCCATGGTGTCGTGGCAACCTTGCATCATGCCTTCAATGGTCCGTGGCTCAAACACGCTGGCCAAATCATGTTGACTGCAGTTATGGACGATTTAAGTGCTGCCTTGAGTTTGATGGAGAAATGTTTGAGTTGTTCAGACTTCTGTAGAACAAGGATAGAGTGAAATAAGGACCAAGTCTTGAAAGTATCTTCTAAGGAAGGCTCCTTGAGTGAAGGATTCAAGGCATCTTTTTCTTCTTATTAGTGTAGGTGTACATGGGCAGTATTTATATGTCTACAGCAAGTTCTACTATACCAGAATGGGCGCAAGTAGCATGTGGTATGCATGGAAATACTTGGTGAAGGACAGGGATGGTGAGGTTGGAGCACAAGGTAAGGTATGAAATGACATAGAAAAGGATTATAGAGGAATGTATCCATGTACTCGGATGCAAAGAGTTGTACTCTTCACATCAGTGAGTCATGTGGCTGTGTTTGGACATGTCATAAGTTCAAATGTCTCGTTTTTAAGTCAGTTCAGTGCGTAAAGGACATATGGTCATTACAACGAGACACTTTGGACACAGATAATCTGCAAGACCTGCGCAAGTTGATGTCAATGCCCAGCTCTCCTCACTATCAACTGAGGCAATCAGAATTTTAGGATATATTATCCATTGTATTTGATCACCACATTTCATTGCCTCCCCATGATGTCCATGAGAGCAGAGAGAGTCAAAAACAGAGAGAACTTTGTGATACACTTTGCACTTGAAGCATGCAAATGCAATTTTCTCTGCACTGTTACAATCTGATGAGTCACTTGGATCATGTATCTGAGTCATGGTGAGAAAACTTAAGTTACAGCAAGAGTTTATGTCATCCCTCACCACAGGCATATAACCAACAAGGATTTCCCCTCCATTACCCAAGCCATTTCATATTGCTTGGGGCAAAAATGCAGGATGTAAGAGCATCGGGTGCTTGCGGACACATTTTGTTATCATGCCTTTGTCGAGCCAAAAAATTGCAGGGAGGAAACAATGTGGTAGCCCATGTACTTTTGGCAAGGTATCCTGGTCATAATCATAGGTGATTAAATGCAAAGACTCAAAATGATCGAGAGGGTCACCTACCTGAATGTCCTACCAAAGAGTTCCTGTACTAATGTTGTCATAAATAGCAACATCCTTCCCATCTTCACATAGCTACTTTCAAATGGAGTACCAGTTTATCTCTTGAGAAAGTGTTGGATTGGTGATCTGTGGGGAAATTAAATGGAGGGACTTGGAAATTGTATTCAATCTAAGTATGAAGACATGCTTGTAGATGCGCTGGACCATCGACAGGAGCACATGAGGGTAGAATGTTTGGCCCTCAGAGAATATTCCTCGTGGCTGGGGGCAGGGAGGCAGCTCCTCGCCAGTGGCCTTTGAGGACTGCTTGATGCCATTTGCACAGTACCCCCTCTTATGGTTGAGAGGTGAATTCTTAAGCCTAGATACATAATGGTCTGACAGCAGGAGCATGTCTGCGCCTTTTGAGCCTAAATTAAGATGATGGTCAGTGCAAATAGGGCACAAATGACGGACACAGCAACTGACATTTTTGCCTGGTTCTTCCTTCACAAGTGCAACAACAGAACAATGACGGCGCCAAAACAACTCGCTGTTTCTGGGTGCTATTTGTATGATTTCAGAAAAGCAGTGAGAGGCAGAGGAAAAGACAGACTCACAAGTATAGTCATCTCTGGTGATTGTGCTCATTAGCTTTGGCTCTATGTCACCCAGTACACACAGGAGCACTTGTGGGTTCCTCTGGATGACTGACTGGCCCTTTTTCTTGATGAGACAGCAGTTGTACTCTTATATCACCAGCACCCAGTGCTTCGAGGTCATTTGATAGGACAACCATTTGAACTCGGCCCACATGTCCATAAACAGGCAATGGAAAACAAGTGCTGAGATGAGGTCTGGCCCATTGAAATGGTTGTCGAGTTGTTGATGCCAGTACTGGTGACACTGCTAGATGGCCCTATGAGAATTCGGGAGGAAGTTTGTGCATGTATTGTTAATCGGGGGTGGTTGGACTCACCTCTGTGGGAAAGAATTATGGAGGAAGTTTTTGTGTGTATTGTTGGTTGGGGGTGATGGAGTTGTTGATGCCATCTCTGGTGACTGCCTAGTGATCATGCAAGAATTCAGGAGGAAGTTTGTGTGTGTATTGTTGATTGGGGGTGGTTGGACTTACCTCTGTGGCAGCACTTGGAAGCACCAAGTGATCCTGTGAAAATTCGGAAGGACATTTTTGCATGTATCATTGATCGGGGGTGATGGAGTTGTTGATGCCAGTGCTGGTGACTGCTGGGTGACCCTGTGAGAATTTGGGAGGAAGTTTGTATGTGTATCGTTAATTGGAGGTGATTGAACTCACCTCTGTGACAGCACTTGGAAGCACCAAGTGATCCTGTGAGAATTTGGGAGAAAGTTTTGGCGTATATCATTGGTCAGGGGTGGTTGGACACACCTTTATATTTCCAGTCCTAGTATAACATTGATTGGGGGTGATTGAGTTGTTGATACCAGATTGGAGTGAATTGTTGATGTCAACACCAGCAACTGCAGCCAGTAGGTGACCCTGCAAGAGAACTCAGTTTGAAGTATTATACAATAGGTTTGGTGACATACCTCTTTGCTGGATTTGCTGCTGCCTCACACCAGGGGCCATAGTATGAACTTCTGAGCTGGGCAATGCTAACATTCATAATATTTTGGCTGTACTACTGCTGGCATCATCATCTGAGTCTAATGAGATGACAGCCTTTCTCTTTGGTGGAGGGTGCTTTGTGGAAAAAAAAAACATGAGGATGCAGAAAGTTGAATGGAAGTGTATTGGTTACTGTTCATTTTGAAGTCTCAGCAGGAGGTGTGAGAAGTGTAGGGTCAATTTGTCACTCATTGATGACGACATTTCAGCTGGCAAGAAAAGCAAGGTCAATGTCTTTACTTGTTTTGGAGTCGACAAAGGATTTAAAGAAGTCGAGTAGGTCCTTTTCAACATTCTCCTCCTTGATCAGAAGATTGCAAAATGTTGCTACATGATCGCAGCTGAGAGGCCACATCATCTTGCTGGAGTGTATTGTGAAGCCTTGCCACACAGTCACAGAGTCAAAGGTGATGTGAACCATCAGTGAAATCAACAAATAGTATGATCATGGACCTGCTGAAAGCAACTCACATATTGCAAAAGGGGAAGAAATTATGGGCAAGTTCAGTGAGCATTTCCACACCACTTGGCTGTGCTCACTGAAGGGAATTCTACCCTTTGTGAGATCCCTCAATACGACTCCCATCAGTTCTAATAACCTGGATGCTGTGCTCGAGGCATCCTCTGTGAACATGTTTTAGCTGTCCCTGGTAAACCTTATTAAGCTGTCTCAGTAGTGGGTAGCCTAGAAATTTAAAATCAGACTTACATTTTGTGCCGCAGCTGACCCAAACACCTTTGTCCACCCATTTGTCAAAGGCCAGCATCAGCCTCCACTCCTACTCTAATTGGTCCCAATATTGTGCAGGCTGGCCATGCTCAGCACGTGTCTTGAGAATGGTACCTGTGATGTCAGCAGTGAAAGCACCTTGATAGGGACTTCTGCTTGATTGGAGCATGGCAGCAATGTATCTTTTAAGTGTGCATATGGGTGGTAGGGTTATGTAGATGCTTAGACCGCATGTTTCCAGAACGACGGACTGGATACATTCACATCTGACTTGTATGCACCTTATAGCGGTTATGAATTTTTGAGCTTTGGGATTTAGCTATAGCAATGGTCATGTAATTATGTAATAGCACTGGTTATATCTACCTTAGCCTACAAGCTACCAACACAGTAATTTATTTGTTGTTAAATGGAGTTTACATCCTTAGTTACATATATGTGGAGTTATGTCTTACACCAGAGACACCAGAGCCTCGTTATATGCACAGACCTGCCATTTCCCAACATGATCTATAACCAGATTAAAATTCAGGTGTCACCAGTTTTACAACACCTTTTGCTTGTGATTTCTGTAGCTATTCATACTGCTACCAGATGACTCCTGTATCTATCTTTGTCTCATTGTACCCCTGCCACACACTAGCACAACTCATACACATTGATGCACAGAATATCAAAAAAGAACAAGGAGACACCCACCACTGTGGTATCATACCACCCTCCCTGCCTTACATGGGCATCAACATTCCTAGGGCTGTTCCATGGATCAGACTCGATGCACAAAACCTTAATTGTCCTATATGATACAGGTGCACATATTTAATGTCCATCATAGCGCGTAATCCTGAAGGATGATGGACAGGGAGTTTAAAATTCACGATGGGCCTTCAGGCGGTCTGACAGGTTACGAGTCTACTACCGACTAAAGTCAGAAGCCTTGTGATCGATTGTGAGCACATCGTACTCCTCATCATTACAAATTGTCTCTGAGTGACCACCATCGCTCGCCACCGGTGGGGACTGCTCACAGCTAATGCTAAAGCTCAGATGGCTAACATATGGAGTTATATGGCTTACAGAGTAGAGCTTTGTCCTTTTCCTTTGCGTTCATAGGGTGAACATCGTCCAAGCCCTTCTTCCTCAGTTTTGAACAGGTCTTCATTAAGGAACCAATAGGGGTGTCTCCAAACCACCTATTTGACCATCTGTCTTCTACTGTGGATGGCTTTGTCGAGAGCCTGTTATGGCATACATCGATGGAAGGTGGAATAGATTATGCAGGAAAAACTTACTGCTTTGTCAATAGGCCAATCCCCTGTCTCCCACTTTGTCCAGTCCACAATCCAAAATTTGAATTTGGACCCCTCTAACCTTGAATTTGTTTCCTGAGATGATGATTGCATGGTATAATTTTTTTAAGAGGTGTCGATGGGGGTAAGAGGGTGTCAGGAAGATGAGAAACGGAGAGGGTCAAGTATTTCAGGGTGCGGCAAATTCCTCAAGCGGACCCTTGGAAGCACTTTCCTCCCATTCCCATGGTCTAAGGTAGCCTCTAAGACATACCCTCTAATGTGAGCATGAGACCTCTGAAGGTAGCAGTACTTTCTATGGACCAAGGATGAGCATATGGTATTCGAAGCAGAGGAAGTAGGACTAACATTGGCAGCAAGACTGATTGCAACAGAACGCAACCTTCAATTCCCCATCTTAATATCTGTTGACAGCCAAGCAGCAATTCAATGTGGTAACAACTTCCGACCATGGCCAGGATCTTACCTGGCAGACTGCTTTTGGCGTATGATGCAGAAAATCGCTAATGAACATGCTACCTTTGACGTTACAGTGCACTGGATGCCCGGGCACTCAAATATTCATGGCAATGAGGAAGCTGACAAGCAAGCAAAGATAGCAGCAGTGACACCACCCAAGCTCATTGGAAAAGGATATGGGTTAACTCCCCATGGTTTGCATGCTGTAATGATGGTCACAGTGCTGGGCTCTGAACCAGTCAATCTAACACTTACATCCCATACCATTCCTCAACCTCCCTTGACCTTCCAAAGGCTGCACACACTTGTCCAAACCTTCCACAGGCAGTTCCTACATTCCGAGGCCTGTCCAAACCTCATGAGTTACCATACCATGTCCTATCCTCGTCCTTTTGACTTCGCTGGTGTGTTTTCCTTTATTCTATCTATATGTTGACTATGTCTTAGTGCTACATGGATAAATCCCATCGGCATCCTGTCGGGAACCTCAGAATACATATAAACAGTACACATCACAGCTTATTACATGTATACTTGCATTGCTGCTTGCCTCATGGCTTATTACATAGATTCGGACTTGCTTATCTCACTACTAGTTTCGCCTACAGATTCCGGTCTCTCACAGAAGTAGGATATAATCTCACTCGCTGCCTACTGATACTTCACTTCACTTCCCATACTTCAAGTCGTAATTAGTAGAGTCACCTCGGTATATTTGTAACTGTGCAATCAATCTTTGTTCATTCAGAACAATTGTTTGGCTAGACCGCTGCCAATTCTGCACCTCATTTATTCTTGAGTTCTGATAGATTAGTGTCGTTCCGGACTTCGGACCCCTTGCAAAGTCTTATATTATTCAACACATTGACATATATTGACCTTTGGACAGTTCTCGCAAGCCTTGGAAGGCATTGCTCTACTTCAGACAACACTTTCACAGCTTCGGACGACCTTTGGTCGCATTGGAAAAGTATCTTGGTACTTCAGACATAGTCTCGGAACTTCAGACAAACATTAGAAAGGTTTATCTTCCAATATCTTGTCTACTCTTTGACTGTATAAGACTTCCCTTACATTATCAAGGTAGTTCTTTAGGTTGTCTCTTGGGACAAAGCATACTCACATCTCTCAGGACTAGGGACTCACATTCTGTAGAGCCCAGCCCAGATCTACTCTTTTCAACTGGAGCCCACTGTGAGGGACTCCTTTACAGTCGGAGATAAACAACTTCGGATTAATCCTCGCTGCTTCCTCCAGATGTTGGAAATTACTCCAACAGATATTTTGATACCAGTCATCCCAGATCCGCCATCATCCGAAAATATTGTGATACGGCAACTCTTGCCAAGTACCCTCGGCTCTACCAAACTCGCCAAACTTTGGGAAGAAGAAGACACAGACAATCCCTTAGACTCAATCCACTTGTTATTTTACCTAGATTCGGAAAACCACAACACGATATTCCCCCACGCGCCATCACCAGATAACCCTTTTCTCAATGTAACCCCGCAACTACCAAAACCTTCGCCAAGACAACATGTCGCAGCCCTACCTTTGCTATCCGGACCAAAGATCCCCACTCTGAATATCACTCTGCTCATTGCAACCTCTTCACAGCTACCTGCAACAAAACCCGTATCACTACCTATCTCACAACCCGCAGCCATGTCATCTGCACCATTTAGAATGTCCCTCTGTGGCACAGATGCTGCTCCGAAGTTTGACGGAACACCTACCTGTCTCATCCTGTACTTAGAAGATGTCATCCAACTCGCTGACCACGCGGGTCTCGGAGACGAAGCACGCATCAAAGCAGCCATTCGCTATGCACCCATTGATGAGTCCAAAACATGGGAGATGTTAGAAGAAGCAAGATTGAGAGACTGGGGTAAGTTCTACAATGCGCTAAAACTCTTGTACCCAGGATGCGAGGGCGACCGCCATTACACACATACTGACCTAGAAAACCTGTGCGCAGAACAAGCTCAGATCCCAATCTGGACTCATGATGAATTTGGTGCATACTACCGGAGCTTTTTGAAAGTGTCAAAGTTCTTAATAGTAAAGAAGAAGCTCACCAAGCTCAAATGAGACCGCTTGTTCCTAGAGGGTATTCACAATACTTCAAGCACTAACATCTGCAGACACTTAGAAATCACGATGACCTTAGCATACCTCCTCGGTCAACTAGCCAAGTTCCCCACATGTTTGCAAGTACAGTTCCGATGACACAGCCTTCCGGCAGTGTTGTTGTGAAACAGGAGTACAACTTGCAGAACGTGCAATACAAGTGCTACTTCTGCAGTGGTCGGAACCACATCACTCGGTACTGCAGTCATCACCGAGAGTACATTATGAGCGGAAGAGTGATTGAGACAGACAGTAAGGTATTCATGCCAGACAGTAGCAGGATTCCTGGCAGAAGAGAAGATGGAATGATGAAGCAACAAATTGACATGTTCGCCGGTCAATTGCCAGCAACAGGAGCTAATGCTATTCAGGTCCAGGCAGGGTTATATTGCCGTGCAGCTCCAGACATTGAGATAGTTGGGGAAATTGACTCATCCGCATTCATGCACACCCACAGCGAACCACCAGAAGATGAGGAAGAATTTGAGCACTTAGAAAGGATCCGACTAGCGAACCAAGAATATGCGGTGTTCACCGCCAAGCGCGCGAAGAAGACAAACAAAGGTAAAGGTGTATGGTTCGATGGCATCAATGTATCATCACGCCAGAAGCCAGGTCCGTCGTCAAAAACCTCAGAACAAACAGAGGAGATTGTATCTCTGCAAGTGAAAGAGGCAAAGACCTGGAAAGCACCGAACCCCGGAATCTCTGTCTTAAAACCAGCTACTAAGGCACCAACCGCAACTCCGGCCACTGCCGCGTCATCATTGCAAGCACCACAATATTGCTATGTGTTCCTGCTAGAAGACAAGGATGCAGAAAAGAGGGTCATTGATAAGATTCTGGATACAGACGTAAGTTTGCCAATAAGGGACATCATTGCAGCTTTGCCAGATATCCGGAAGGCAATAAAAGACCTTACAATGTCTAAATGAGTCATGGTGGGTACGGTACTGGTAAACAAGCTCAGTAGTCTTCCCCAGACGGAGCAATTGGGACGAGCATATGAAGCGAGCCAATGATGGTCGTATTGTCGCTGACCATTTTAAAGCTTTGCGATGTATCCGAGGTGCTACAAGAGGGGGCTGGGTACTCTCCTGTGTCCTCGATCAAGGCGCCAAAGTCATTGTAATGCTGCAAGCAGTTTGGCAATCGCTCAGTGGAGTTCTGCTTTGCTCGGACTACCAGATGACCATGGAATCAGTCAACATGTCGACGGATTCGACACTAGGTGTCATGGAAAACTTCCCACTAGACTTCGGAACAGGAGATATGATGTTCCAGGTTCAGATCGTCCCAACGGCCAATTTTGACATACTACTCAGCAGACCATTCCTCACGTTAACTAGTTGCCTAACAACTGACATTCCAAACGGCGATCAGGACATCATGCTCACTGACCCAAACACTGGAAAAATTATCAAGATACCTACAGACCCATGGGCTAGAAATGCACCAAGTGTAGGCACAATATGTTGTGTGTGGACCATTTGAGTCTGAAGGGTTTTTAAGTACTGATGATCCACTATCGCGGGGAGACTTACAAACTGTCGCATCTTCCGTCATTCCTTATTATTTATGTTCCAAAACTAATCACCGCCTCATGCTATCTGCGCAAACCTCACTCTCATGGAGCACCAATACCCTGCACATTCCTTTCATTGCACGCACTTTGGCGCATTATAATTATCTCATAACAACCCATTTGGTCATTAACCGCTCATCTGTCTGTGCCTTTAACATTGTATATTCATTCGACAAAACCAAGCACGCACTGGTCTACAAGCCAGTCACAAAGAAAGTCTGAACTGTACAAACAGCTATGCCCACAAAATATAGAGTTATAATAAAATTACCTGATGACCCTTTGGCTGGCATGCCTACACTGCCATTCTTTCCACCCAACTTCATTCTGGGCATCCGCTACACGCAAGAGAGATCTGACAACCTAGACTTAGACCCGGCAAATTGGTTATGGCCTGAAGAACTGAAGCTCATACATTCAGGAATTCGCTGGTTCATATGGGAGCATTGCGGGGTAATCAAGCAAGTACTCCAGAGACTCGAAGGTGTTGGTGTTACTGTATCCACTACTAAGTTCATTTTAGCTGTGCCGACTGCTATCATCATCAGTCACAAATGCACGTTCGAAGGCAGAGTTCCATAAGAGTCCAAAGTGCGGAAGATCCGAGATTGGCCCAAATGTAGCAATGTCACGCAAGTGTGGGGCTTCCTTGGAAGATGCGGAGTCCTCTGCATCTTCATTAAGAATTTTTCCAAGATCGCCCGACCTCTCGTCAACCTTACGCACAAGAATGCAGTATTCATATGGGAATTGGAACAGCAGGAAGCGATGCAGACACTCAAGGACTTGATATTAGAGTCTCCTGCACTCCATCCGATCAACTATGAATGTGGTTATGAAGTCATCCTCACCATTGACACCTCCAACATTGCTGTAGGATTTATCCTTCCCCAGGTCGGCGAAGATGGAAAACACTACCCAAACTGCTTCAGATCCATCATGCTTATGGAAGTAGAGAGCTGCTATTCGCAAGCGAAACTCGAGTTATACAGGTAGTTCTGCACACTTTGCACAGTCCGAGTTTTTATTTTTGGTGTCACCAACCTTACGGTTGAGGTCAATGCTAAGTATATCAAAGAGATGATTAATAACCCCAATCTCCAACCTAACGTGACAATCAACCAATGAATTGCTGGTATTCTCTTATTCCAGTTCTTGCTAATTTATGTTCCCGCAGTGAAGCACACCGGTGTAGATGGACTTTGAAGGAGACCTTGTGCACCCAAAGATCCAGATGAAAGCGATGATCATGAGGACTGGCTTGACCACTCATACTTGTTTTCCATGGAGATTCTCAATGACCGCACTTATGCTGTTGCATGGATAGATTCCGATAACCTGCACTACCTATACACCGTGTCTGTACCAAACCCGCTAACCTGCCCCCCTGTCCTTTCCACATTTTTAGGTACCACTTAAAGATAGTTCCGACAATATCTGCATTCTGTGCTCCGAGATCGCCAAAGCACAAGATGCGAGAATAAAATTCAGAAGTTCCTAGAGGACTGAGAACGACCCTCAGACGAAGAATCCAAAACTTTTGTTGGCGCATATCATCAGTATTTCATCTTTGATGGCAGATTATGGAGGAAACATATGCAGGGGAAGCATCAGCTCGTTGTCCCCAAAGCGAAGCGGTATCAGCTACTCAAAGAGGCACATGATGACCTCAGGCACAAGGGAGTAAACAAAGTCACAAAAGCAAGGTTCCAGTCTATCCGAGAATTTGAGACAAAGTTCCGAAACACCATCCAAGATCAAGATTTCATTCCAGGCACCCTCATGCTTGTGCGGAACTCAAAGATAGAGTATGAGCTCAACCGGGAGACAAAGCCAAGGTACATCAGACCAATGATTGTCCTTCGCCGGACTCTCAGAGGATTGTACATATTAGGCAAGTTAGATGGAACAGTATTGGAGTTACGATATGCAGCATTTTGCTTGCTACCATACTACCTGAGAAGCAACACCAAAGTCTCAGTCACCAGAGTCACTGGTATGGACGGTGAAGCCTTGGACAAAATTGCGAGTGAAGCGGTAGAAGAGCCGTAAGATGAAGATAACAAATTTGGACTCAACAAATAAAACCATCTCTAGTATGATAGCTTCTGTTTTACTCCGGGTTTCATCCGGCAATCTCTATTCTCCCTTCTCTCTCCGAACATTCCAAAATCACTCACATATGATCCGCACGCAAGCATATAGACTCCTTCTTCTTATGCAAGGTAGTGTGCCACGCACTTTGATATTTTCAGAACCAAGGGAATACAATCCGAACATCCGAAGGAATAGAAGCTGACAGCAAATCAACAAAGACAAGATGGATGGTACTCTGTACAATCCGTACTTTTCCTTAGTTCTGAATCTTCCTCCAATGATCGCGCGCTTAAACTTCTTATATTCAATTCTTAGGCACAGCGAAGTTATTACAGGTACAGGAACAGGACATGGTATTGGATCAAAACCGGACATTCAAGGATCAAAACTCTATTGACTGAAGAGCTCTTTGTCACCAGTGAGAGCCTTGAGAAATTGATCTCTGTTAGCAAAACACATGTTCCAATGATCAGATAGGAAGGAATAGCCCACATTGTGGTTAGTGTTGTCACCTGCAATGTCCTAGTAGGCCACATGTATGCTCAGTCCAACCAAAACCTTTTTTTCCCACAGTTCCACCAGCTGCTCCTCCATCGAAGCAAACATCTGCCACAATGAATTGATGTGTATCTTATTGCCCTGGTATAGCATCTCATGCCATGAATGTCTGTCCAGCCACCACATGCAAGGCAGACTCATAGTCTTGTAAGCGATTGCAGAAGCTCAATGCTGAAGCAAGCGGATGCGACTAAAAGGTGAGTTGGTCTTTTCAGTGAAACAAGTTTGAAGGGCATTGCAAGCAGCTTCATCATGACCGCCATACACTGAGGAGCTAAGGATTTTTAGCTCCTTCAGGCAGACAAAACATATGCAATACTCTAGCCTTGCTAAAGGATTGGTGACATAGACCGGCTGCTTGTGGCCTCCATCAGCCTCCAAGGTATTCAGGGCCATAAATTGCTCTGTTGGACAGGGAACTGAGTTTCCTTCCTGCTTTGTCCATTTGACCATCCAAATCTTGGTGAGAACTGCATCAATTGAGCCCCTTCAGTGATAAATTCCGTATTATATGGGTCACCTGACCTACATAATATCCCATATAAGACAGGCCAGCGGACTAAGGGCCGATGTGATGTATATCCCCGATGTTGATGGATGGGCTGGGGGAAATATTATTTCTGATGGAGATAGGTGGGCCCATCTATTCCAATGTTATATATGTGCTTGATGATGTCAGATGGGCCAGGATGAATATTTTTACCAATGGAGATGGGTGGGCCCATCCGGGGAATATGTACAGTAGGATGGACATGTATATTATAGACAGCTAGGCTGAAGGGAGATGAGAGGCAATCAGCATTATATAGATGGGTGGGCTGATGTATAGGAATCATTCTGCAGACGGGTGGGCTGAAATCATTGTGAATTGTACAGATGGGTGGGCCGAGCGAGCAGTAAAATATTTATTATATCGACGGGTGGGCCAAGAGTGCAGGAAATTATTTATGATATAGACTGGTGGGCCGAGATAGGGAGATATTGTGTAGATGTATAGGCCAAGGTATTGGTTTACTATATAGATATATAAAGCACTTGTCTAACATGTACGGATCACTGAGTCCTGATACCCAAAAATTGAATCCCATGGTACAACATCCATTTTTCCATGAGAAATCACTATCTCAAATTCCGGATGCCTGATGACCGGAAGCTCCAGACTGGAAACTGGATACTTGCAGGAATGTGTGAAATATCAATGTCCTGAGACATATCACTGAGTGCTGAGAGCTGAACTGCAAAACCAAAAGTGTTACCATTGACTGATTGAATCACCTAGTGCCGAGTGCCGAAGCCTGAAACCCGAGCCACAAAACCTGAGACAGGAAGTGATACACAATATGGAATTTCTTACAAAATTCACCGTGTGCCAATCCTAAAACCCTGGAATTTATCATTGGCTTATTGATTCACCAAGTGCCAAGTACCGAGATCCGAGGCCTGAAACCTGCAACTCGAAATGAGTGGAAGACTAAATGTTGCAAAATTGTTGACATGAAAGTGTTACTCCCAGACCACCGAAATCCGAAACTGAATGGTTGAATCACCTAGTACCGCTGAGTGCCCATGCCTGAAACCTGAAGCTCGAAACACAACACTGGACACAATACACCATATGGTATTTCTTACAAAATTCATGGAGGTCCAATCACAAAACCATGAAACTTATCAGTGACTTATCAATTGACTGAGTGCCGAGACACGAGATCCGAATGCCGAGTGCCAAGGCCCAAAATCCAAAACACGAAATGAGTGGAAACCCACATTTTGCAAAATTTTTGACATGGAAATGTTACATTGTCTTCAACAGTTTGCCACATGTCATTTTCTGATCCCCGAGCCCGAAATCTGAAACCCGGAAAACCCATAAATGTCCTTCCTTTCCTTCTTTTTCTTGTTGTTGAACAACCAAGTCTTGTACATCTGAGCATTGAAGGAAGTGTAAGACATTAAAATTTTTGTTTTGCATCGCAACAAGGATGTATCACCTGCTTCCTCTTTTTCCATTGTCCTTGGTCAACCTTTGGCGCAAACAACCTGGCAGCCCTGGCAATTGCAGTCAAAACTGCCTGCTTCTCACTCCTTTTTGCAGAAGTCCACTCAGGAAGGTAGTTCTTTAGCTCGGAAATTTCAGTTTCCATGAGCTTCTGTGTCTGGGATTGACGTGCCCTATGTTTTCCAGGAGACAAGCGAGTGGAATGACCTGATCTTGCCATGGTGACTCTGATTGGTGAATGTGCTGAGGGTTAGCAAGGCATAATTAATATTGGTTCAAAGTTCAACTTTGACCAAAGCCTAACAGTTGGTTAATCAACCCATATCGGACATCATGCCATTAATGGAGATAAATTTGTAATGAACAACCAATACTGCATAACATCACATTGAAATAACAATTTGTACGACCTTCCTGAGCTAATGCTGTTCTTGCAACATTTAAAAATAAGATGAAGATAGGTCTATGCACCCCGCTGCAAAAATCCCACAGGGTAGAAGCAAGGGGCAGCAAAGGTAGGAAAACTTGGGTCAAGGTCCCGCTTGCAAGCGCAAGACGACATGCCTACAGGTCCATGCCTAACTCTCCCCCAGAATCACCAACACTTCAGCCTGTTTGGGTACCACCTACTTGGGAAGACTGTCCTGATAACACTTATGAGCAAGACCAAGGCTTATTCAAGCATTTGCAGCTTCCAAAAACAATGGCAAGTTAAGGTAAACTGTTGGAGTGTGGTTCAAACCTTGCTAAGTATAACAAATGCAGAGCCAGAATGACTACCTGAGGCAATGGCTCCCAAGGCAGGAATCATATCTGCATCACCTCCTGGATCCAGAAGCTCCTCCAGAAGATAGATGTGTCATCTGCGACCAGGATGGGGTCTACAAATGTCAAGATTGTCTTGGGGAGCCACTCTATTGCACGGGATGTTGCAGGAGTCAACATTGTTGCAATCCTTTCCACTGGATCAGTCAATGGAATGGTCAATTCTTCGAGCAACATTGCCTCACTCATGTTGGACTCGCAGTTCCATCACTGATTGGACTGAGGTGGATTAGAGAACACCTCCTGACATTACTTGAGGAGCAACATGAGGGCATCCGTGATAAGATGGCAGAGATACAAATCTACACTGCCATTCTAGACAGATTGAAGGTCTTATATCAGATGGTGAGACACATGAGTCTCTACACTAGCATAAATATAAACAGAATCCCTCATATACCATGCCCACCCAACCCAATTCCCTTCCACCTCATGAACCCCATGTCTGACAATCCTTCCAGAAAATCCAATCATACACCCGGGATCGTACCTAAACTCTAGCTGAAGGCTTGGCATACTCATCCAAGCATTAGAATAATTCCCCACAGTGGTGAGAATATTGAAGCATTCAGGAATTGATAAATGGTCTCGATGATGTGGGGTTTGACAATTGGAAATGACAGATAGCGTGTTAAACATGGATGCCCTGTACTGGAGGATCTCGGACATTCTTGGCAGTGTTACAAGAACATCTAGATGCTTGGGCGCCTACCATTTTTCTCCTCATCCTCCTTGTCTCTGCCCTTGCATCACACCCTTACCCCAACCTTGCTCTTGTTATCCTCATCATCCTTGCATTTCCCTTCGCCCTCTACCTGTCACTCCAGCAGAGCCAGTACATTTGGCCGGACCCTTTCTCTGACAAAGCATACCCATGCTCTGTTCCACCCGTTGACTGATCCTGTGGACAGTCCCCTTTACCCTTACCGTCCCAATGGTAACCTATGATATGATGCACACCGCATCCCCTTTGCCCTGTTTCCTTTCTTGATCTATGACTCGGTGAGCAGTCGTACGTTGTACTTATACTTAGCTCCACAGTTGCACGATCGTGCCCCTGCTTATTTCACTTCCTGTTTCTGTTCTTTGACTCATTTCCTATCTGCACATTCCAGTTCACCTATGACTCACCTCGAATGTGCCTTCCTTTTCTAGTATCACCCTTTGACTAGTTCCCTTTCTGGTAGTACGAGTTATCATCCACTAATACACTTCCTCTCCTCTATATAAACTTGCTACCATGTATCTAGTTCCTTAACTTAATCTACTTGGTTCTTGACCTCCTACTCCTAACAAGAGTAATCCTTTCTGCCTAGCTAGCAGTCTATATTCTATCTTCTTATCTGCTCATCGCAGATAAGTCCTTAGTCTCGATCTTTACTCATCGACCTCGTTGACGAGCAAAGCCCCTATTACTAGTTGGACTTCTGTTCTTATATTAATGCAGATCTTACGATTAACCTTCAGGTGTTGTAAGCCTTGGCAGATACACTTATTGTCGAGCTTCGCTTGACATAAGCTACCCAATTTGGACATAGGCGTTAAATCTTACTTGCCGAAGCTTTGCCAAGTAAGACCCCTAACCTTGGGCTAGCCCAGGGACGTCCTTGACCATTGACGACACATGCTCTGTTTGAGCGTCATCGACAGATACTATCCAAGTATGTAACAGGCAGTTCCTTGCTTTTTGCCTTTTCTCCGAGGCTTGCAAATGTTTGTGACCCTGCCCAGTACTGCTCCAGATGCATGATCCTGAGTGCCGCTGATGTGATGGCTGCCAGCCTCACAATGGTGTTCAGGATTCCCTCAGACAATGGTCCCCTTAATAATGCAGATACCTCCGGGTCCACTAGATTCTATGGGATTGGTGAGTTCAACTACCAAAATCATCATCCTATCAGATCCTACCTCGTGCCCCTGTTGAAACCATGCCGGAGATAAATTGATGCACCCAGCAGGTAAGCCAACATCTTCCGAGCTGTTTTCAAACCACTCCAGATTGGTTTGCCAATTCTCATTGACCTTCATCCTTCTTTCCAGACTCGGAGACAGCAAATCAGTGGCTGCACAAATTTCCTTCTGTGGTTACCATTTGGTATTTAATATATATTGAGTAACAATGTATATCACACACCTGTGTTTTGGCTGTCAGGGCGTCTGGGAGGTACCATGCAATGATGGTGCCGGACACATCTAGAATTGTGGCAGGTATGTCCACAAACCTTGTTCCCTCATGGCCAGGAGGATATCTCTTAAGCAACTTCTCCTCTTTCTCCTCATTGTGCCTGGTGTTCTTTGGGGAGATCAATTTGCTAGATCTTGCAATGTCAATGTTCATCTGAACTGTGATGAAGGAATTTGAATGATCAAATGAATTTTCTGAATCTGCAGGAAGACCCACTCGGATTTTTATATGCCTTTATGAGGCTATCTACCAATTGATCGCAGGCCATCACTAGATCAGTGTCTAGGTTAGGAGAAGGTATCACCGGGTCTCCTCCTGTCTTCTCTGCATTGAATTTCTGTGCAGTATATTCACATGCCTCATGAGTGACTGTCAGGTCCCAGGTGCACCAGAGGCTTATTTCAATTGCAGAAGTGGAAGAACCATTCATGATGAAGTCGATCTTGGGAAATCAGAAGCTGAATGCTGGATGCCCAGAGGTTGGTGTTAAAGGAAGTGTAGATAGTCAGGATCAGATAAGGGAGCCGAAATACCAGAACATTGGAAGTGTGCTGGATATAAGATATTTGTTTGTTGACTCCCAGGGCTCAGATCTCGGCATGCTTCACTCAAATTTCGGTAGTCAGAACTTGGCATTTGGCATTTGGTAGGTGGTGATGATGAGGTTCTGATAAGAGAACCTTCCATGATGTTGGCTGTCGAAGATATATTATCATCCGTTGCTCAATGAAATACCAGATCATTGGAAGTGTGCTGGATATCAGATATTCGTTTATTGACATCTGGGTCTCAGAACTCGGTATGCTTCACTCGAATTTCGGTAGTCAGAACCTTGCTTCTTGTATGGCAATGCAACAATAATGAACCTGCAGCTGCAGAAACTCATTACACTTCACCTGAATTAGCTACTCGGCAATTGGTGCTGCATTGTTTTACAATTATCATTCACCTGTGCCCACCTGTCTATATTATATACCGCCCTCAGCCCACCCGTCTAATATAATATATCCCTGGGCCCACCCGTGTATGTGATAACAAGTACCCTCGGCTGGCCCACCCATCTATCTGATACCCACCTTCCTTGACACTTGGCCCACCCATCTAAGATAATGTATATCTGGGCCCATCCGTGTATGTGACACCATGTACCCTCAGCCAGCCCACCCATCTAATATAGTATATATCTGGGCCCACTCATGTATGTGATGACAAGTACCCTCAGCATACCCATCTATGGGCCCACCCACCTCCATTGAAAATAATATCCCTCCCGGCCCATCCGTCAACATCAAGGATATACATCACATTGGCCCATCATCTGCTGGCCTGTCTTATACAGGATATTATGTAGGTCGGGTGACCCATATAATACAGAAATATGTCACTGTAATATGTGATGAATCACCTTCTACACATCTGCTGTCTCCATCAATGCATCCTCCAGCTCCGTGATTGCATCCATGAGGTCCTCCAGCAATGGAATCGAGTAGTCCGTTTCTTCATCTGTCCTCATTAGCATAGCCAGCAGAGATGTCACCACACACACATAGTCCCTCTGTGTTGCTGCTTCTTGATGACAGTGAAGAGGTGTGTTGTTCACACCTCTACAGGCGGTTGAATCAGCATGTGTGTATGCTAATTGGCTGACCTACTCTTTGAGGGGGTCGGGGGAGTTCAACCGTTGCAGGACCAGTTCATCAGTAACCTCCAACAGCTTCAGGGCACTGTCGAAATATGCCTCAACCTTGCGTGCAATGTTAGGCATAATTGGATCATCTATCTTTGGAAATTCTACAAGCTTTCATAGAAATGCCACATCATGACCGGCAACATGCTCATGCCACTTGGTGGTCAGTAACCAAGAGCTCACCATGCATTTCTCCTGTGGAACTTGTTTGACCCTGGTGACATCAGCCATATCCTTTCACATCTTGTCAATGATCCTCTGATAGTCACATGCCACATCATCATCTCTGGCCACCCTCCAAAATTGCCTGTTGGACCCCTTATTCAGTTGCTGCATCTTGCAAGAGGACCATTGCTTAGGCAAGGTGATGATGTGATGTTGGAACCGCAGAAAAATGTGCATGAATCACAAGCCAATCCATCATATACCATCAGACCTCTGTAAGCCGTCTGATACTTACCCCCAGCCACAGAGGGTGGAAGAGCCAAGGCAATCTTCATGTCTGCAATGGCATGACAGTACTTGCCATCATCAACCCGAACTGCTGGATGGGCATTTCCTATATGGCTTGGCAAATTTGACAGCATAAGACAAGAAGATTAGGGTTGATGATGACATTGATGACATCGAGATATGGATGGTGAAGCAGCTGGTCCTGGTGACATTCGGAAGTAGTTCAAGCAATTGAAGCCTGGAGCATACCTTTGGAGCCGAGGAATTTCCAGTCTGTGCAGCAATTGTTAGTCAATTCTAATTTCACAGTAAAGCTATGATGCATACTTGAGGGTCCTTCTGTGAGTAAGCTACAATGTCGTCTGACTGAAGCTGCCATAAGAAATTGATGCTCGTGTATCCCAGCACCATACAACCCACCTCATGCCATTCCAGAGGGATGGTAGGCATTTTGACATTCTGCACTCGATCCATCTAAGGGGACTAGATACCCTGTGAATTCCTTAGTGAATATGCACACTGGTGTTTGGCTTTAGCTGAGACTCTGGGAAATTCTGAGAAGATCAAAATACTGAACCAGGAAGCTTTGAAGCTTGAGTATAGGCATGCCTATTGAAATTTAAGAGTTGATCAGCACTGGGAGTCATGTGACAAGCAATAAATTACTATGTAGCTAAAATTAATTCACTTACAGACAGTTGATGCTCAATGCGACTGATCCAAAGACAGCGAGGGAAAGGAAAGATATCGATCAGAGAAGCACCAAAGCACAACGTCTGAAGTGTGTGAGCAGCTGCCTAAGCTTCATTTTGAATGCCAAATACAGAAGCGGCTGTAGTATGTGCATGATGGTGTCAAAACTCTGTCACGCTGGCTCATCTCACCCCAAAAGGGTAAATTTATGCGCAAATTGTATTTATGTAGTCCGGATGGAGGACCGTAAAACAGCTAGGGGAAAGACAAAAGGCAAATCACTCACAGCCTTATTACTGTAGAGATACACACTTAGCTTCATCACAGCATCACATGTCTGACAAATTGAAGCTATTTCGTGTGACCATCACACAAAATTGAAGTCATCAAAGGTAAATTGTGACACATGGTAAAACATGAAAAAAATGCAAAAATATTCCCAAAAATTCTTGTACTGAGTATTTGCTATGCATCTCACTTTACATGACCAAAATTCTCTTTATCACCATCAACTGTGAGCTCTTGCTGACAGCAGCTGGTAGTGGTACTGATTTGAAGCTAAGGTTCAATTGGTCATACCCAGATGATGTTGAAGCTAAGTGCATATCTCTACAGTACGCTGCAACCTAATGTGATTGTTTCTCTTTGAAAACAACTGGGCTCTTGGATTTCAAAGTAAATGAGGTACACATCGGCAGAGTGAGTCAAAACCTCAGTTACCACTCACAAGGATATAGACCCTTTGTTCCCCTCCAATCATTTTGCGAAGGTTTCATACACACTTTCCAGATGCCATGCAGCATGGTTAATGCAGCTATGCACTGGACACATCCCCTTGAACAAACACCTGCATCGCATCTCGAAAGCTCCCTCCCCACTCTGCCCATCTTGCAACAAATGACAGGAATCAGTCCACCACCATATCCTCGCCTGCCCAACGTACACTAGACAATGCAATGCCATGAGAATAGAACTAGACCCCAAAGCGCAGCAACTCACGTACCTTTTGAACGACATGAAAGATATTAAAGCACTGCTCAAGTACATCACATGCACCAGACACCCAGCAAACACCTTCGGAAATACCCCACCTCCAGAGATGTAGCAGAGAATAGGATGGCTACATGGAAAACCACCCAAATCCTACGCTTATGCCCTGATAAGATGTCCATTGTCCTCGCGAAAGCATATCAAAAGTTACACATACATCACATACATAGATTACTAATTAAATAAGTACATACTGTAGGTACTGTCCAGCATAAGGCCCTGCATTGCTGGATAATAAACAAGGACTCGAAAAAAAAAGTCACCACTCACCAAGTATATCTTCCAGTCATTTACAAAAGAATTGATTCCCACTTTTTATTTGACTCTATCAGACAGACTGGTAAATCTGTGTTTGACTTTGGATGTCAAGCCAATTCTCGCAGTGACAGGTATAGATAACTCCGACATGTATTGACGGATGGTGCACACTACCCTGCAAATTCAATGGACCACTCAGACATGTTAAGAAGTAAGCTGTATTAATGTTGCCCACCTTTGAACAGCAAAAAGAGCTACCAATTCAAAGATCTCAAGATTCTAACACAACACACCACACGATATTGCAGTTCATAACCTCCTTTCCCCGCACAAGATGTTTGAGCTTGATTACACCATCTATTGTCGATCCTAAGTCAAAAGAAGCTCAGAAATAAAGGTGTTATGTGGGTCCTCCTTAACAGAATCTATCCCAGTGCTGACAACACTAGAAACATAGTCGATTGCATGAGGGTGGAATGACTTCAACATTCGAGTGTGTCCTCGTGAATCTGAAAACATGCAACCAATCATTTTCTCTAGCTTCCTTGCAGATCTATCCTTCTTCTGCTTTGAACTAGTTGTATATGCGATCAAGATTGGGGGCAAGTTTGGCCTCTGGAGGATTGAGGGTCTCTGAGACTACACCAAGACCACATGCATTTTACAGGTTATTTCCATGTAGGGTCACCTGAACTGGTGTAGAGCCTTGCGTCTCCACAGGCACTTCCCTCGAATTCTCCCACATTCCCTACACACTCCAGCTCTAATCCCAAGGATACATCTTGTGCAGTAGCGCTTCATATATTTTACTTTGCAGATTCCACGTGCAGCCACTCGCACTGCGCATCCGCATTAGCATCGTCCGCATACCTGTCCATCTGTCCTCCCCATGTCCTTAGATGTCCATTGGTGCGTTTTCTCACTATATTTCCATTTTGACTAATTGTTTCCATCACTAATTCTCAGCCTAGTGCTACGCATGCAGCCGAGACCCTATTATCTATCTTGCATACTATATTTAGCTTACTTGGCTTGCTACATCAGACCTGTGTGCCTAGCGGCGCTTAGCCATCTTTACATATACTATCTCTTTACTCTATTTTTGGGGTCAATTTTCCGCCCACTCTCTGTGTGTCTCTAGATACTAAGAATTTTACTTGTTGTTTGCAAGTGACTATCTAAAGTTGTGCACTTCGGTTCTCTGTCTCTGTCTCAGCATCAGCCAACCTTAGTTGGGGTGTTAATACTTGTCTCTCCTTGTCTTTCCCTTGCTTCTCTCATTTGCTTGTCTCTCGCCTTCGCTCGTGCACGCTACCTTCGCATCACACACCTCAACCTTCGCCTTTCGCACTCACACGTTCGCCTTCCATACATCACATTGTTTCTGCTTCACGCATTACTTAGCCCTAGTACTTCATTAATTGTTTGGTGTCCCTCTTTTTACAAAGAGAGGTTTCCTTTACTCAGTTAGCTGCCCTTGGGACGACGATCTCACTCGCGCACGGGTCTATCTGTGTTTGCTTAGCTTAGCACCAACTTTCCCCACAGTTTAGATTCCTCATCTTCACCAGGAGGTTTTATAATGAGTGCAATGGATGTGAGGAATGATAGAGTAAAAGTCTACCGTAGACTGGTTGGATGAAGAGAAAAGATTTCACATGTGCGATGCTATTGGTTAACAGACACCCAATCCTGTCGCAGACAACAGCTTGAGGGCCTTGTTGTTTGTCATTCACACCAGCCTGGACAGTATCTAACTTACCCAGTTCGGATGAAGATGGCAGGGTTGGATTATAAGCAAATAATTGGTGACCAAATACATACATTTTGCAATACATACAGGTAAAATAGACAAGGCCATACAGGCATTGCTTATATGAGATTGCAATACAGTCGATACACTCATAATGCACAAGAAATTACGATCTTCTTTCCCAAGGATTACAATGTCCAAAATTGTTCCAGCTCAGATGCCCCATGCTATTGATTTCTCGAGGCATGTTGCCCTAATCAATGATTAGTGCTCTGGCCCACCTGCCAAATCTCAAACTCCTCACTTTGCCACTCTGAGATCGACCAGTCTGACTGCATCAATAAATTTTCACCATTTCAATGCATAGTCAGACCTGTTATGAGTCTACCTCATGATGCCAGTATCCTTGTTAATAGAGGTGACACCTTGTCACCAGTAGATAGTAACCATGTGTCACCAGTATGTGCATGTGATTTATATCACCAGTAGTAGAACAGTGTAGGCACCGCTTTTCCTGCACATGAAAGAGATGGGAAGACATGAGCCCAGCAAGGGACCATGTTGCATACCCCTACTACTCCTAAGTGATGCACACTCGCAATGCGTGTCATCAGCACTCAAACAACTCTCCAATTATAATATCCAGAATGCCCCAAACTCTAAAGCATCAAACAATCAAGGCACTTTGCTAGTCTCACCACCAAGCTCCGCTGTCGACACAGTTTATCCCTGATCCAACTCTTGAGCCATCTTCAGTGCATAGGTTATGGGGGTCACCCTAGACACACGTGCCTGCAATCAAGAGTCTTCCCAAACCTAAAAGTGTATCTAGACCCTGGTCTTCTTCATGGCTCAAATTATATCATTCGAACACACCATAACCCCATCTGCAGACTGTGCAGGAAGGACATCCAGTGCAAATGCCCATTAAATGCCTTCAGACATCACCACTTTTACCAGTACTAGGGCCATTATGCAAGTAAAAAGACATGACATGTCCACACATGTAGACTACCAGACCATGTACCGTCCAAAGTATGCTCAGACCAACCTCATTATAGACCAGATGCCTTTCTAGGCAAGCAGCCTTTCACCAGATGTTGCAGACACTTAAATCCAGCGTGAACCTACAGTAAATCAGTAAAAGTGGTCTAGCTTTCTGTAACACAAATTTCTAGAACCATACCATAGAGAATGTTGAATTGATTTGTGGTTCATAACCTCAACACAAGATTTGCCCACCATGGTATTTGTAATAGACAACATATAGTGTTTTCTACCTTTTGATGTACCACTACTAGTTGACAATGTTGATTAGTCCCATGTCTTGGTTTGCAACTTAATAAGCAAAACACTGCACAGGAACAAAAATGTCAGGGGATGGTGCAGACATCACGAGTATCAAAATATGTCAGCAGGTCTCATCGGTTTGGGATGGCTACATGTCACCAGACCGTGGTGACTCAGTATGCTTGGAACTGTGCGAGTGCACCTCCAAGCTCGACCTCATCTCCTACCTCATTGTATGGTTGGTCGTCCAAGACTGACACAGCACCTGCACTGTCAAGTTTAAGGACCTGCAGCACGCAGTTCGCAATTTCATTGGCCTGGTTAATGCAGCACTTTGAATCCAAGTTATTTTTAGAAGTTTTGACCGCCTTCCGGCCCTTGGCCTTCTTCCCCCCCTTGCCAGGCCGATGGGGTAGGTCGTCATCCTCACTAGTACATTGTGGCATATACTGACCCGGGTTGAGCACCATAGTACAGAGTGCTACCATTGTGTGATGGTAGAGCTCTAAACGACAACGAGGCAGTCATGAATATTAATCACCAGTGAAGTCAAGTGTGACCTACTACAATGGGACAGCCGTGGAATGGCGACCACCATGCGATGGAGGACTAAAAGGGTGTCCTGATGCTCCTGATTGGTAAATAGAGACCCATGCAGTTGATCCAGAAAGCACGACCACTCAGAGAGGTGCATGGTGAGGTAAGAAAGGAGGTGCCCACCCACAGCAAATGTCATCAGCAGCATATAGACCTTGTGAAATTTCCCAGGTGGCATGAATCTGAGACATGAGGGTCAGGGTAGGCTACAGGAGATCCATTGAAGCTTACAGCATGTCACCCACATAGAGAACCACGACCTCTACCGCTAAGCCCTTCGGAAGTTGGCAAAGGTTGCTGTCTATGTTGCAGAGGCTGTAGAATGTGTCTGCTGCCTCATCACGAGATGCTGAAGCATCCTCCAGGTCGTAAATGGCCCACATCTTCATGCCTGACATGATTTTGACAAATGTGATGCGGTCATTTGAGTCATGGTGAGGAGCGGTATAGATTCTAGCTTGGTGCAGAAGGCCCCAACTTTGGTTCAGGAAGGCATCAGGATGGGGCCGAGTATCTTCCAAGGGGTATTTATGTGTAGTCTCACCCCATGCGTAGACGGTAGCATGGTCTAGGGTTCTAATGAGGTCGATGTGTTTAGAACTATGTCTAATCAAAAGATGGATGTACTAGAAGGGTGATGGAACTGTAAAGGCAGGGAGTGGAATGTCCAAAGCGCAGGGCTTCTTATCAGGATATTGACAACACTGTTGGCACACATCAAGGCTGTGAAAATAACAGGTGGAGTCAGTGGTTCTGGAGGCATGGCAGATTCTGCGCTACTGGTGGATGGACTAGATGAGAGCGATACTGTGAAAGAGCAACAATGCGTCCGAGCTGCGGGCAAAAGGAAAGTACATGAGGATTCCGACTCTGAAGACAACCCGCCCCAGCTAAAATGTCCTCATCCCACAAACATGTCATCTCATATTTCCTTAGTAGCACCAGTCGTGTACAGGACTGCCAATGATCTCACCCCTGCATTTCTAAAGGATGCTAAGTTTCATATTAGCAAGCCCAACTTCATTTGGTGGTTTATCACCATATGCTCTTATCAAGTAAGGTTTGTTTACCATTTAAGTTTGGTGCTGACGCTAATTTTCATCTTAGTGCAGCGCGTGTGCAAGGAAGATGGTAGCTTGTGGGTACCTGCCTATTGCAGAGGGCACCCAGAGCAACTTTAAATTCATTGCTTGCTGCAATGAACGTGGTGGGATATGTAGCTGGTTCCAAGACCTCTTAGAGGCATACATACACAAGGCATACCAGTTAGATGTTGGAGAGGCACGCGTGTTGGCATCATTAAAGGAAAATGATCCGCAAGGTACTCTTAGTAGGTTCTACCAATCTTGGCTTGCAGAACCTACTGTTCGCTGCTTTGATGATGAGTCACAAGAGCGTGTGAAGGACCTTAAGACAATCATCTCCTGGGAACACCCATGCAGGAGGAAGAGGGGTAGCAGGGTTGGCCTTGCACAACACAACCTCCCACAGAAGGTATCTGTACAATGTTCCCCCACACAACTGTCCTTAACTGAGCCAAGGCCTAAGCTGCAGAAACATGTTAAAATGATAGTGTCACACCCACTGGAGCAGCCACCTCCAGTCCAGGGGTCCTCACTACGGCCACAGCCAGCCCAGGTTCCCTTGACACCTGCACCTGACCGAGCCTCCTCCTCACCACCATCAC